TTGATACAATTTAGAGCAGAGGTGGTATTCAGCCGGTTCGGACAGGTTCACCCAAACTGGTAGCAGAAATCGTGGGGGGGGGGGCTTGCCCACCCACCACAGCTCTATGCAGTCCTATTTAGGCAAGTTTTTGAGGTAGGGCACATGCGCAGAAGATGCACACATGAGCAAAGCGCATGTGTGGAAGGCCAAGCGCATGCATGGATGGGACATGTACACCTGCAAAGTGGATGGGCGCAAGGCGAACCAATGGTAACAAAATGTGAAGCCCACCACTGATTTAGAGGCCATCTGGCTTCAAATGGCTCAGTAGCTTATGGTAAGAAACACAGAAAAAAATTTATAATGAATTTTAAAAAATCCTACAGTGACTTGACAACCATCCCAGCCCAAGAGCTGGGAGAATAGCCCAGTTTTTAGTGATTCCCTCAACATTATCAGAGTGGGAATCTGGGAGCATAGTGTTATAGAGGGCAGGTGCCCCAACAAATATAGAATTCAGAAGTATCACATAGCTCTCGTTCTTCCTCAGCTTCAGTATCCATCAGACTCCCATCACTCACAAATAATTTCTCAGAAGGTTTATGTTGGTACACATACTGTAGAATTGGAGGATGAGAAGGGACCCATAAATAGGATCCCTTATACTAATTAGTTCCGTTCTAAAGTGAAATAATAATCACAGTAGTAAGCAGAAATGTTTTTTCTGAACAACGCAATAGCATTTATCCTGAATCCAATACAAATATACATTTTGTTATAAATTAATCGCCAACCTGGCCCAATTGTCTTCTTTTCTGGTTTCTATGGCTATAAGCTAAACAATTGGGAATAACTCCACTGCACTTCGGGGCTCCCTTGTATCATCTGTAGAGTAAGGTTTTTCAACATCTGCCCCTCTAAATCCTGTTCCTGCATGAAGGAGATTCATCTGATCAACTAAGCTCTACACTGTGGGAACATGTGTCATAATACTGCTCTTTAAATTGTGAAAAGTCTCTAGCTTTTTGTGCTAGAGACTTAATAAAGTGAGCTTTGAAAATTATTGCACTGTAACTTATATGAGTATTTTAAAAGTGGAACTGGGGTTGTTGGAGGTTTTCTTGGCTGCCTTTATTAAATCTTATGTACTGGAATCACAGTGTTTACTATTGCATATGGGCACATACTTGTAGCTCATCCCTTTTAATCTCTCCTCTAGTTCTCCCCAATACAAGAAAACATCTGCACCACCCAACCTGGAGTCCATAAGGTATGTTGACAATTCTGTCTTCCACCAAGAGGCAGAAAGAAGTGGATGAAAGGCATAATCATGTTCAATTATGGAGGTCACCAAGAGGAAAAAGACAGCCTTAAAAAGGGTTTCCTCCCTCCTCCTTTTCTTCTCTAAGATTGAGTGGTCAGCAAAAAGTTGAATCTCCTGTAAGTTTCAAGGCTGCGGGTTGTTTTTTTTCCCAAGGTCCAAAGAAATCAATGTAGCATGAAGACTTGAAAGGAGGCAGATGTGGTAGGTCAGAACAGAAGTTGTGTAAAGGATAGATGCCTTAAAAGTCCCTTCACTTTAAAATAACACCAATACTAATATTAATAATAGCAGCTGGGCCTATTCCCACCACAACCTCATTCTGTCTCAAATAATTTTGTAAATTGCGGTAGATGGGCCACATTTTTATTCTTCCCATATGTTTCTTTATCTCTCCCGTCTTTAATTTCCCCCTTGCGTTGCAGACATTTCTCAGACCATCTTGCTGATCAACAAGGATCTGAATTGTTGCAAACACCAAGGCTGTCAAAATCATAAACGACACACACACCCCTCTTCTGCTGCCTGGGAAATCACCGTGGTTTGCCTTGTCTTTTTCTCTTCCTCCTTCCCAGTGTGATAACAACAGGAATGCCCCAGCAGTTCTTCCACATATTCAACCAGCTGAAGAAGTGCCCACGGGCTTATCCTGGAAAGAGATCTCTTCATAGCGGAGCGCTGTGAAATAAACAGGCAGCAGCTCCCTTCCATTGCAGCAGGCTGTTATCCCCTGCTCTTTGCAGTGCAGAAGGAGGAGAGAAGTCCTTGCATGACTAATTAAATCAGTTTGAAAGAATAGAATAGAATAGAATAGAATTCTTTATTGGCCAAGTGTGATTGGACACACAAGGAATTTGTCTTTGGTGCAGATGCTATCAGTGTACATAAAAAGAAAAAGATACATTCGTCAAGAATCATAAGGTACAACACTTAATGATAGTCATAGGGTACAAATAAGCAATCAGGAAAGAAAGAAAAAAAGAAAGAAAGATTTTTAAAACGGTACCTTAAAAAACGGTGCATTAAAAAAATAATTTTAAAAAAATCTTGTTATTTTGCTCCTACGTTACCCAGCATGTGTCCCTGAATTGGAAAGCAAAGTTTGGTGGCTCTTTTTTTTCCCCTTCCAAAATCTGAAAAAAAGCCAATGTTTCAAAGAGCAAGATAATATATTCTATAAATAGCTACCCACTTCCTGTTCCCGCAGGAGAAAATACATCCGTGCGCCTGAAAATGCAGATAATTGTGGCTTCCCCTTTTTTTCCAAACTTTGAGGACCGGTCCGGCCTGGGAAGTCTAACTCTATTCCCTCCGACGAAAGACTCGTTGAGCTCAGTGGGGCTTCCTCCCAGTTAATGGGCAACGATGTAGGATTACAGATTTAAGGATTACTTCTGATGTTATCCTACTCCTCTTGTTCAAAAATATCCGCGTTGACAAAAGCTGCCAATAAACACTAAGCAAGTCAACCTCTTTTCTTCTCCTTGTCTGTCTTCTTATTCTTAAAAAAAAAAATTAAACCAATCTTAAACTTTGGAATTTTTCTCCCACCCAAACAACCAGCTCCCCAGCAGCTCTTGAAAGCCGCCATAATTAATTACATTCCACCCTCCCAGTGGTTTGGAAAAGATCTAAAGGATTAAAATATCCCCAAGTCAGAAATCTGTTTCAGAACCGAAGAACAAAAAAGACCGCGCACAACACGTTCTTCGTCCTCAAAACAAAAAAACAAAAAACCCAACTGCATGAAACGGGCGGGTTTAAATACGCCGGATCTTGCCGGATCGCTTCATTTTAGATTGGTTTATTTATTTTATTAATCGGAAAACAAATGCTGAAGTGGAAGAAAATACAGCTTTGGCGGAGCGGGGAGGACGAGAAAGGCTTTGGGTATTTCGTAGGGGCCGTGGGTGCCACCAGTTAATGTATCTCGTTTGAAAATCGCACACCAAAATAAAAAAATCTTTTCGGGTATTTGGGAGGTATTTGGTAGCGTGGAAAAGCCCCGCTCCGCAGTTTCCAAGGGTCTCTAGCGTGAGCTTTCACCCCCTGTATATACAGCGACAGGGATCCGGAGAGGAGCGAAGCAGAGAGAAAAAAGTCAATTTGTCAAAAGACCAACCAACGCTCTCCGATCTGAAGCTGGGGAGCTTTCGGGTTTTGCGCTTTAAAAAGCCGAGACCGGCGGCTTTCGGATTTTCGCGGGACTTCGCCCTTCATTATCCAGCGCTGGGTGAACGAATCTTTATCCTTGCAATCTTTTCAGTTCGAGTGGCCCACGGTGGTTGTTTTCGACGGGGAGATTTTTCTTAAAGAGGCCCCTTAAAGCAGCCTGTTTCGAGTAAGTCTGCAACAACTTCTTTCTTTCCGATCTCTCTCTCTGCCGGCCGGGTCCCGGGGATTGGTGGGGCGGGGGGGGGGGAGAGAAGCAGGGAAATGTTGGTCTAGCTTCCTTCCCAAAACCAACATCGCTGAAGAAGAAGAAAAAATAAACCAGGGAAGCAAGGAATGAAAGAAAGAAAAGATTCCAGTCCAAACTCCCCCTTAAATAAATTTTCCCTTTCTAATCCCATTCAAAGAATATTCGCTGTTTCGTAAAGAAATAAATACTCTTTTAACACAGAGACGTACAAATCATCCACTCACACACGCACCCGCTTTTTTCTTAATTTATTCTGCTTTTTTGAAAGTTTCAGAAATACAAACAATTGATCGGATTGATCGGTAGCACCCATCCCGGATTTTTTTTAATGACATTCAACAAACTTCGAAGCATTTCTGCCAATAAATCGGAAAAGAGATACAAACACACGCAATTAATTAAAATGTCGGCGTAACAGCCCACTATCTTCTCAGCTCTTTTTCCCCCTCCCACAACTTCTGAAGTTTAAAATGTTTGATAGCACCAATGTCCCAGAACGGAGAACTTTACTGTTGGTGGAAAAGTGGGTTTTAAAAAAGCGAGGGAGAGAAATGTATCATTTCTGACGGCGACTGAATGATACAGTTGCTCCCTAATCAGTGTACCTGATCGAAGTTTGATCTAAAATAAACGCAAGTCCCGTCCCCCAACAATCTTTATAAAATGTCAACCCCCAATCCATCACACATATGTTCACGGAGCATGTGTGTGTGGTTGTTGCTTTAATGCTTTTAAGAAGAAGGAAAAAAGCACGTCCCCCGGAATTAACTTTGGAGCTAAAATATACCGAAGGAATAAAAATAAATGTGAAGGGTTTGTTTTCAAAATCTCTACGCAACGTAGCTTGTGTTGTGACTTCTCCAGAGAGAGAGAGAGCTTTGGGAAATTCTTCCTGAAGGTCGTTTAAAAAGAAACCACATCCTGCCTACCCATGAAGAGTTTCAGCAAAAGCTAAAACTAAACCTGGTTTGAAAAGCAAAAAAGCAATAACATCAACCACCACCACCGATGATGGGATGCGATTTGTTTTTAAGATTTCCCCCGATCTCTCCCTCCCTTTTCACTTGCCCTCTAATGACGCTCAGCGGTCCCGGTGAGGCCAAGGAGTTGGGGGGTCCTCACGTGAGCTGCTTGGCAATGAGACCCCCCCCCGGCATTTCACCCTCTCGCGTGATGGATGACCTTCGCCTACCTACCGGGATACCTCCAGTATCCGGTGATGCGGCAGGCGCGCCAGCGAGGCGTCCAATTGGAGCCTCCTAGCACTCACCTGTTCTTGCGGGGCGGGTTGCGCTCAACTTTCAGCCATTCAAAAGTTGCCTCCGCAGCCTGGCCCCTCGCTGCCCGCCGACGAGCCCGGGGGGGAATCCCTCCTGCCGCTCGGGCTGGGCCCGGAGATCTTCTCGCTAGGGAATCTGGTGGGTGTCCCATCAGCCGAGCTCCAAAGGGCGATCCAGGCGGGCGCACAAGCTGGCGATGCGGAGAAGAGGTGGCGGCGCTGGCAGGGAGGAGGAAGCCGATGTCCTTCGCAAAGGTAGGTGGACAGAGAGGCCGAGGTCGCGCGAGGAACCGGCCAGCCCCAGGGCCCGCAGCAAGACAAGGAGGCGGGGGGGAGGCCGGCGGAGATCTCCCCTGGGGGATCCCGTCCCCGATGCTGCCGTTTCGAGGGAGCTGCCTCTCCAGCCGTGCTGCCCTCCAGGAGAGGGTCGCTACCAATTGGCCACCGGTCCTTGTCCCACGCACATAGGCAGCTCTAAATGGGGACCATCCGTCATTGTGTCCTGATGGCTCACATCCCCCCCCCCCCTCCCCCACCTTGGCCCTGATTCCTCCTGGTCAAATTGGACATTTCCCCGCTTCCCAAGGAGGCGGAGGCGGGGGTTGGGGGGGTTGAAAAAGAAAAGCCAGCTGACATTCGATACAGTGGCAAGGGGAGAAGCCACGTGACGGGCGTTTGGCCAATGGCCAAGGTTCACCGAGAGGGAAAAAGGCACTGTTTGATGAGCTCATGGCAGCAATTTGTAACTTTCAGTCTCTCTCTGGACAAACACACAAGAGGGATGAGAAAGAAGAGGCTCCTTTCTCTCTCTCTCCCGGCTGCCAGAAATAGACACAGCCGGCCCGCTTCCCTCCCCTTGGCTGGAATCTCTCTTGGGAAGTTGAAGGTGAGTGAATCGATCGGTTTTTATTCTGCCCGCTGCTGCATCTTCTCGGGCTCGGCTTCTCTCCTGCAGGAGCAGCTGCTGCTCTTTCCTTTTCCCCTGCCTTCTCCCTCCCGAAAGTGGATCTCGGTGATGCTAAATGTCTGACCATAAGAGCCGCTTCATCTTAATTTAGCTGATTAAATTTACAATTACTTCTGCAGTGAAAATGGATGACTCCCCAACCCCCCTCCCTGCTGCTCAGTGGGGGATGCATTACAGTGTTAAGGTGAGGGATTACAACTTTATGCTACAGTATTCCTGAAAAGTGTGTACATTGGATGTGTATTGTGGCAGCAGACCACAAAACACATTATCTATCTATCTATCTATCTATCTATCTATCTATCTATCTATCTATCTATCTATCTATCTATCTATCTATCTATCTATCTCATCTATATCTATCATCCATCCCTCTGTCTGTCTGTCTCTATCTATTATATCTATCATCTATCTATCTATCTATCTATCTATCTATCTATCTATCTATCTATCTATCTATCTATCTATCTATCTATCTATCTATCCTAATGGTTAAGTTGTTAAACTAGGACTCAGCAATCTAGGTTGTATTTTTCCTCCAATCATGGACTTTGATCCATTACTGTCTCAACCTATCTTGGAGGGTTGCTGTCATGTGGGGGGGGGGAGGGGAGGGAAATGAAAGCCATTCTCTATGTAGGCTGCTTTAAGCTCCCAGAGGAGGAAAAAAGTGAGATACAGTTGAAACAAACAATAAACAGCACACCTAATAAAGTAGCTCCATAAAGAGACATTATAAGGAGAACAATCAGGTTGCTGCTGCTATTAATGACAGTGCTTTCATCCTTGAGACGTGGGCATAGTTGCAAGGAAAACCACCTGCTTGGGGATACGGATTAGTGTCTTTGCTTGTCTCATAGAGGGATTTAATAGGTATCTGCAAGGATATTTTTAATTGAAGTCAAGAGATGTTTTGGATGCTTCCCCATGCTCTGAGTTACTCTCCCCAGAACACAATAAAGCCATGGGGATTGGATGTATACAGAAGAGAAAGGAGGGAGGGAGGGAGATTTATGTTCCTTCTTTGAATGACTGTGGAGGAGGGGTGGAAGTCTCTCCAGTGTAATGGAGAAATCTTCAGAGCAACAGACCTACCGTAACCTTTCAGTAACAGATAGGTAAAACACCCTGGTAATGCCATGATGAGTATATTATTAATAAGAATAAGGTCACTCAAAAAATCAAAGGTAGTCTTCACCTTCTTTATTCCAGGTATATTTCCCAGAGACGATCATTTCTACTGAAAAAGAATTAATCTAAATTACTATTAATAAAGGACAGTTAAAAATTAATTGACCTTCCAATCAGTCATTTCAACTTGTTAACATGAAATGAACACAGCACTCTTGCTTAAAAACCAACTCGTGTTCAGTTATTTTTTTTTATTGGCAAGGTTGATGGGAGAAGGAGGAGAGAGAGAGAGAAATGTTTAAAGCTTTGAAGGAACATTCAGAGAAGCCTTAAGAGAGAGAGAGGGAGGCCCTGATTATACCTGTTCTTCAGTTGTTAGATTAAAACAATACTAATTACTGGCATATTTGAACATTTTTTTTTAAAAAATGACACATTAAACAAAAAGTCAGAAGGTGTCAAGAGGTATTTTATTTAAGCAGGTTACAAACTCAGCTTGAAAGTGTGTGGCACACACACACAATAGCCTTCTGTTTCTCCTCTCAGAAGAAAATTAAACATTAAAGTTTTTTTCAAATACATAAATGCGTTGTTTCAAGGATAGAGAAATGCTTCACCCTACTTCCCGCATTAAATCAATTTACAAAGCTCCGTCATTCATTGGTGAATGTTCAACCCACTTGAGAATTAGGCCTGTCTCAGACATTCAAGGTAATCCCTGGATGACGTCACTGGATGATTCACAGCTAGAGGTGTGAATGTCTTCCAATCAAAAGGATGTGCATGTTTTGAACATTGAGATAGCGGTTTCACAAATGTAAACCATTGTCTCATGTTGAAGGAAACATTAGCATAAAATTAAGAATCTTGATAGGGAAGTTGTTGCAAGTAGTTTTTCAGGGATGTAAATCTTTAGGTTTGATTTTTTTTTAAAAAGGGTTACATTGAAGTAGGAACGTAGCACTGGGCCATTTATTAAACAGCTGCATCTTTGGGGCTGCCTTCTACAGCTGCCCAGCAATTCCAGGAAAAGGCCCATTGCTTTAAAGACTGTCAGACAGGTGTTCTATTTGCATCCTTGTATGCCCCAAAGCATCTTTTTGGAATTGAATCTGAAGCACTGCATGAGCTTATTATTGATATAGCTCAGATTTAACTTTGTTGAATCCATTGTAATCCATTACAATCCCGGCAGTTTCTTTATTGTAGCATAAACCATATGAATGGTTCAAAGATAAACTTCTATTTTAACCTCAGCTCAGCTTTTTCAGAGGAATCAAATTTGAATATTTGGGTTATTGAGAAATAAACTACACACACCTGTGTATGTTGGTTGCTCCGTAGAGCAAATCCACTTTCTGAGTCTGCTCAGGATGGCTGGGCTCCCATGATATTGTGTGCAAGTCACAGGTGAACTTATAAAATGGCATATGGCTCTGCATATGAAACAGGTGCCACACACCTGTCCAAGTACCATTTGTGGGAAGGCCATGTTATGGTAATAGAGTTTGAAAGAAAGAATGTTCACCTAGGCTCAATAGAGCTCTTTGTGGCAGATTAATTATATAATTGATTGCAATTCTTATTATGTGGATAATAAAACTTGGCAAGAGTCTAGACTTCTCTGTAATTTTTCTTCTCTCTGCTTTGTACAAGTAGGAATAAAAAAAAATCCTGGCCTCTCTACACATTGTTGGATTCCTATATAGCATAACAGTCAGAGATGAATAGTGTGGTAAGCCATCAATTTCTGAAAAACCACAGATTCCTGTGTCCTCTCTCTAGAAAAAGAAATTAAATGGCCTTTAATTTTGCAGTGTTCCATTATCTTAAAGATTTATAAGGCATTCTTAAGATAAACCCTCATAAAAGTTATATTCATATATAATATTACAATGACTTTATCACTCCACTGTAAGTTACCATTTGAGGTCGCTATTATTGAATTGCAGAGATGTATTCGAGAATGAGTTTAATAGATACATGATCACAAAATGCTCCTTCTGGTCCAAACTTATGACCTGTTGTTTCCATAAAACATTTGGGGCTAGTAAATTACACATTAAATTTAAACTTGTTACTTAGCCTTAATTTGCCTGCCTCAGAAATGGAAATGATAGTAATAAGATTGACTATCCACACTAAAAAATGTTTCAGCCACTCTAGTACAGTGGAATTTCTAATATTTATAGAGTTTCCTCGAACAAGGGTTGGAGCATTTTCTTGAGTCTTAAAATTGTTCACATTTAAAGAAATCTCTAGCCCACTGGGAAATCTAATAAAATACTGAAACGTAGTATTGATTTTATGTTTTAGAAAAACAATCTTCTGTTGGTAGAAGCCATTAGGTTTCAAATGGGTTGGTGAGGTTATTTCCCATCTGTTTATTTCCTGCAGAGCTACTCTGTACAAGTGTGTGTGTGTGTGTGTGTGTGTGTGTAGGGGGAGGAGGGAAGCAATAGTGATATTGATTAATTCTTACAGAATTCTCTCTTTTTAATTTGCACAGCAGCTCTTTGTCAACTCCGAATCTGATGCAGATGGGCCTGAAATGTCATACACTGGGTGTGAGCAGAAGAGCAACTATTGGAGAGAGAAAAAATGGGTCAGAAAAACTACACAACACTCGTGCAACCTCTGTTATGCTACGAGGCTAAAAAAGGAACTGAGAGCTATATTTTCCCTGACAGAAGAGGAACTTGCTGTATTTCCTGACCTATAGCTTTGCTCTGTTCCATTCCAAATATGAAAAGACCAGTCTCTTCTCCTGAGTGTTGGGGTAAGCTGGGAGCGAGCCCAGCAAATGTCAAGTTGATCTGGTGATGTCATAGTGGGAAGCACGTTTCTTCTGTACAAATAGTCCTCAGTTAACAATGGTAATTGAGAATGGAATTTCCGTCCCTAAGCAAATGTGGTTATAAAGCATGATGTTATGTGAGTGCATCACTTAGCAATGGCAATCTCAGCAGTCCCTATTGCTGAGGTTAATTGAATCCCACAGGTTATTAGGTGAGGACCCATCTCAATCTAGGCCAGTGATGGCAACCCTTTTTGGCACTGAGTGCTGAAAAGGGAGGGTGTGTGTGCAACGCATGCGTGGGAGATGCGCCCCGGAAGAGAAACTGCCTAGTGGGCATGTATGCTCCAGGAAATGAACTTCTGATTTCCGGCACACGCATGCACCCCGGCCAGCTTGTCTTATGGTTACTGGGGTGCATGCGCACATGACGATCAGCTGGGTGGCACGCATATGCACAACGGAAAATGGAAGACCAGCTCTTCCAGTTTCCAGCACTGACGCATGTGCAAAAATCAGCTGATCAACACACCCGTATGCACGCCAGAAACCAGGGAGAGGATTGGGCGATGCTGCACATGCCAGCCCCCCCCCCACACACACACACGTGCCATAGGTTCACCATCACAGATCTAGGCCATTCCTGACTTGGTCTGTCCCAGCCCCAAGGGACTTCCTCTTTTGCCTACTGTTGAATTCCACGCCCTCCCCACCTGTCCCCCACCAACTCTTCCCTTTAAGCCACTCACCTACCTGCTACTGCCAGCTGCCCCACTGCCCAATTCTGTCATTCCACCTACTGTACTGCCCCCTACAACCATACTTGCTGGAACCTTCTTTCACCCCATTGCCTTTTGCATTAGGTCAGATGGGGTTATTTGCACTCTGTTCGGAAGCTCCATTTACGCCCTAGCTGTGGCTTCCATTTGTGCCTCACTGAGGGCTGGAAAGGATCTTCTTCAATGCTGGCACAGCCAGGTCCTTTCCCACAGAGGGCTTCTTTTGTGAAAGAAAGCTCAGGTGGGGGCTTGAATGGAGGTCCTGGCTGGCTGGTGTGCAAATGCTGTGGTGGGTATGGCCAGGCAGTGGGGGAAGTTAGCAGCAGTGGGTAAGTGAGTAGCCAAAAGGTGGTCATAAGGGTAGGTGGGCACAAGTGGGCCTACATTTTATTCATATGACAGTAGAGATGTTGATGGAACTTCAGCAACTTCAGTTGTAAGTCCCTTCATTCAGTGCAGAGGTGGTATTCAGCCAGTTCTCTCTGGTTCAGGTGAGCTGGTAGTGGCGGCTGCGGGAGGTTCCGCCTACCCATCCCGACATAATGCGCGAGCACTGCGCATGCACAGAAGTAATGCCCATTTACATTTGCGAACTGGTAGGGAAGGGAAGTGAATCCCACCGCTGATTCAGTGCCTTTCTAACTCCAAATGGCTGTTGAATGAGTGAATGTTAAGTGAGGACCATCTGTATAATGTGGAACTGTCATTGCATATTTTTGTTTTTATTGTTGCTATTTTTTTTTTAATCAGATTGGTGGCCGGATAAATCTTTGACATGAATGAATAATGAGGGCTACTGAGTATGTGTGTTTTAACATCCTATTCTAAAAACACAAGATGTGAAAGTGTTCATATACATTTAGCCTGAATTGTTACATTCAGTGGGCTTACTCCCACCTGTTCATAAAATTACAACTGAAATAAACATGTTTTCACGACAACTAGAATGTGGTGTTTTCTCTGGGATACAGCATGTGATGGAAATGAAACACAAAGTGTGGAAGAGAAAAGATGCTGTTTAGCTAGAAACCTAGAAAAATATTTAAAAATATTTCAATTATTAGATCTAATATTAATGCCTTGTTTGAACATGTACATAGATAATATGCCTCCTTTCTCCTGCTATTTTAATCTACAATCATCACCATCCTCAGGCAGTATGACAGAGTGATTGGTAGAGTCAGAGCAGAGGTGGGTTCCTACCGGTTTGGCCCGGTTCGGCCAAGTAGGTAGTAACTCGGCCGGCCACGGCCCCAAACCGGCTCTATCAGTGGCACCATAGGCAATGCCATCTTGTTTTTTGCCTACCATCATTTTTTTTTACCTACTGCGCATGCACATGAGCGAACCGGCAATAGAAGAAGCCGGAACCCACCATTGAGTCAAACCATGGAACCGCATGCAAGAAAAATAATTTTAAACTATGCGTCTTACCTCCATGACTTGAGCCTCAACAATTTGTCTTCTGTGATATTTTGAGAGCAGAAATATGCAGTTTGAGATGGGTGGGATAAAGCTGCATCTCCACTTTGACCTTTTGGAAGCATTTCCCCAACGTATTTTCAAAACTCAGTAAGCACACGGCCTTCAGAAGTTTCAGTTATTTCCTGTTATTCTGTTGCCCTGAGGTTTCTTCATTACATTTGGGCCATAGAATGGCTCCTTCAAAATAAAATGTTTCTACCTACAGTCTTGAAGATTGTAAACCTCCAGTCAAAAATTATAGGGAAGGGACACCACCAGGCTGGCCAGATTTTTGTAGAAGAAAGTTCTTCGCAACTGCTCTGGGCTACATGACAGCTTGACAGAATCCACTATAAAATGTGAAGTGGCGGCTTGTGTTCTTTCATCTTACACAGCCCAAGGAGGTGGCTCAGATCTTGGGCCGTATGAGCACTGCCACCTGTGGGCCTGGCTCCTGATCTTGGCATCCTCTAATTGAGGCAGCTGCTTCACTTGGTAGAGCAATTCATGAAGATGTGCATTTGGGTCTTCGGGTAAGACCTTCCCACCTTTGCTTTCAAATTGCAGCAGCTTCAGATAGATCCGTTGCCATAAAGGTCACAGAAAGGTAACCAAGGGCATAGCATTAAGCATCTCCACAGCATGAAAAAAAGCCACCGTATGTCCTTCTTTCTCTACTCTTCAAAGTCATATTTAAAAGTAGCAAAAGCCCTGACCAAACTTTTAGAGGAGTCTATAATTAAACATACATAAGCAGGGTCAGATTTGCTTTAAACTGATTTTAAGATAATTATCTTTTGTATTTCTGGTGCCCAAGTAGGCGAAAGAGAAAAGAAGAGAAAATATATAACAGAATGGACTATCCCTTTTCCAAAACATACATTTTAAATGGCCTTTCCAAAATGGGAGTTCAGATCATGTGGCAGGTTTGGGGTGGCTATAGGGAAATGTTATTCAAAATTAGTTAATATCATATAGTATAGTATAGTATAGTATAGTATAGTATAGTATAGTATAGTATAGTATAGTATAGTATAGTATAGCATAGCATAGCATAGCATAGCACAGCACAGCACAGCACAGCACAGCACAGCATAGCACAGCATAGCATAGCATAGCATAGCATAATATATATGTAAAGAATAACAGTCAGACTATTGCTATCCCCAAGCAATGNTTTGTTACAAGTTATGGATGTTGTATTTTCTTTTTACCAATAAAATCTTTAAGTATAAAAAAAAAAAAAGAGGCTGAAAATCTGGTCCATCTTATACGCTGAATACAGCATTTTGGCCTCCCGAAATCCTGCCCCCTTCACCAAAATAGCTGTGCAGAGCCTGTAGAAGGTTTTCAGAGAGCTCCTGGGGGCTGGGGAGGTCAGACATGAATGAAAAATGGGCCATTTTTTGCTAAATTTGCCCCCCCAGCCCCCAGGAGTACTCTATAAGCCTCCTAAAAGCTATGCATGCAGTTGTTTTGACAAAAATGGGCCCGTTTTCACAAAAAATGGGCCATTTTTGGGAGGTTTGCAGAGTGCAAAAACTTTTTTAAAAAATTTGCCTCTTCAAAACTTGGTGTGTCATTTACTCCAGTGCGTCTTATACTCCGAAAAATACAGTAATACTTCTCCTATTTTGCCCACAACAACCCTGCGAGGCGGGTTGGGCTGAGAGAGAGTGACTGTCCCAAAGTCCCCCAGCTGCTTTCATGCATAAATCAGGATTAGAACTCACAGTTTCCTGGTTTCTACACCAGAACCTTAACCACTACACCAAGGCATTTTCTCCTGATTTGAGTGCCACAGTTTGCCTTTGAAAGGCATACTGGGAATACCATATTTTTCAGAGTATAAGACGCAACAGAGTATAAGACGCACCAAGATTTTGAAAGTTTTTGCACTCTGCAAACCTCCCAAAAATAACCCATTTTTCACTACCTTTTGCTCTCCTCAGCCCCCAGGAGCACTCTGGAAGCTTCCTAAAAGCTATGCACAGCCATTTTGGAAAAGGGGGCAGGGTTTTGGGAGGCCAAAAATGTTGTATTCACTGTATAAGACGCACCCAGATTTTCACCATCTTTTTTAAGGGAAAAAGGTGCATATTATACTCCGAAAAATACGGTATATTCCAAAAAGCAGTGGAGATACCCGGCAAAAAGCTATTTGTTATTTCTTTTTTGTCTAGTGATTTATTTAATTTATACCCTGCTGTTCCACTCTAGCAAGACACTCCTGGTAACTAATAATATTTTTTAAAGTATGAGAAGCAAAATCAAAATAGAATTTTAAAAAATAGTCCTAAATTAAATCCTAAATTTAACGAACAGATGAAAGTCTGACAAAAGAAATGCATCACAGAGGAACCATTTTCACAGCTATTTATTGATGAGTTGACTTCTGGGTCTCACAGAAGACTCACCCAAAATAACTTCTGGGCCTTACACAAGTCTCAGAAGTCATTTCACCAATTAAAACAGCTGCTCTCGGTGCTGAGAGAATAGAGGACAAACAGATCTTCCTTTTTTGGTATATTCAAATTAGAACTTGTTAACTGGTAGCGGTCTCTGACTGTTACATTCCAGGCCTTCAAGAACATAAATGCCCGTAAGGCCTATTCTCTATTAGGCAAAAATATTTTAATTTTTTTCCTATTTTTAAAAAAACTTTGATGTGATTATTTAAAATTTATACTGCGGTTGTTTTATAGGGTTTTTTTATAATTTCATTTATTGTTGCTGCTTTAATCTATTTTATGAGCAACTTTAAAACATACTGGACATTTTTAATTTTTGAATCAAAAATATATTACAGCACAACACTGTATTCTACAGTCAAATGTAATCAGTAGGTCTTATTCCCTGATAAAAATACAGGACTGCAGACTCAAATATGAATATAGGTACCCAAATACCAGAGGTAGTGGCATTTAGGCCTGGGTCGCAGAACTGACAGCGACTCAGGCTGGCCATACCCCCTAACCAGTTCCCTAGTCGCTGCTCCCATTGCTGGCATGCTGTGTAGTAGTGTGCGCGCGTGCAGAGTTCACTATAAATTGTTCTGCGCATGCGCGCCTGAAGTGAACCAGTAGTAAAACTGGCAGCAACCACCCACCTCTGCCAAATACATATATTCCTTGATCTTCTTAGAGGAGGCCCAAATTAAAAAAGTATTCAGCTAACTTAAAACCTATGGCATTGGCTTGGGGAAAATGCATATTTCAGTATGACTGTTGTCAAAAAGATTTGGCCGTGCTTAGGAAGTAGTATATCCACTTATTTGTCATTGTTGTGTGAGAATGACCCCCTTGTTTGCAGAACAAGAAAAATAATCCAATGCTTGTCTGTCTCTTACACAAGCCAATATGAAAGGCGTGGGCAGGTGTGTGAGCTGTGGCTACACAGCCTTCCGAATTCGTGAAACGTGTTTTTCCTGAGATCCCGTTTGAGGAGAGCCAGCTGTTTCTCAATGCTTTTAGCTCCAAGAGAAGGAGGAGGAGGAAAAAAACCCTCTGGGCAGAAACTTTCTGCACGTCAGCTCGGGCTGATGATGGATTGCCCTGTGAGCTGGAGGGAAGTAGTTTAGTGTGGGAAGAATCTCTATATAGGAAGGTGTAACAAAATCCTCTTTTGCGGCAAAGTGTCTGCTTTAAAATTGCTACAGGATGGTGGGAATCTGAGGCTGAGGAGATAAAGCCAACTCGTGCAAACTATGCAATAAAAGGGTGGGGAGAGAAGAGAAACCATGGCAAAGAAGGGATCCTGGAGCAATGAAGGAACAACATATATATTATAACATATAACATACGAACATAAAACCTATATTATAGGAATGCATAATAAGAGTGTAGTGTGAAATAAATTTATCCCAAACTCTCGCAAAACATAGAAGTTGTACAGTAGCTATCTTCTTTATCTCTAACTTTTAACATATTTGTGATTCTATGTCATTGTCATCTTTGTGATCCTCACTATTTATATCTTCTCATCTGATAGAAACTGGTGGAAGAGACAGGAGATTTGGATAAGTGCATGTCAGTGGAATCATAACCAAAGCTTGATGGTTTAGGAGAGGCTATTGGGGGAGGAGTGTCTGGTGGTGTATTCTGTAGTGAAGCAAATAAGGAAGCTTGCTTTCCTCTTCGAGCTTTCTTGCTTTTATTTCCTTCCTTCTTTCTTTCTTTCTTTNGCCCCTTGGAATGAACTCCCCGCAGAGATTCGGACCCTCACCTCTCTCCAGGCCTTCCGGAAAACCGTCAAAACCTGGCTGTGCCGGCAGGCCTGGAGTTGATGAGTTCCCCTCCCCTCTCGACTTGTATGGCTGTATGACTCTTTCCCCTTTTGAGTTGTTTGCCGCCCTGAGTCCCTCCCGGAGAAGGGCGGCATACAAATAAACTAAATCTTAATCTTAATCTTTCTTTTGTTTTGTTTTTTTGGGTATGGCCTTTCTTATACCCGGCATATAAGACAACCCCCGATTTTT